GACATCCAGTTTGCAAAAAACAGTCGAACCAACTCAGCGGTAGCTGTCCACTAATCCAAGAGATTCCTCTTCTGCGTTGACCAGGGAGCTGTTTAAGCCACAAAACGCGTAATCGTCGATTGTCTTACAAAAAATTGTTTTAAACCCCACATCCTCTGTTTTCTCCAACACCTTACAGACGACCCACTGTATCTCAAAAAAGGATCCTGCAAACGCCATCAGGTAAGCCCAAATCTGTAAAGTACACATCATGACCTCGTGATACGGCGAGATAGTCCGGCCGAGCATCCTGAAGAATTCAGATAATCACATATTTCTCTTTCCCCACCCTGGTATTCTAATCACTAGAACTATAAACTCACTCGTTTAAAGAAGCTCAACGAAGCGCCAATAGACAGCCTCCTATAAAGATAATAACTGTACGATTTGGCATACTGGGCTACGCACATGGAATATGAACGAAAACTGGATATTTTATCTTCATTACTAAACAGCCAACCTTCTAGTGAAGTAAACCAATTTCATTTCGACAAAGGCAGCTTGCACCTGCTATGAGAGCATAGCAGAGTTAATTGAATGCTAGCAAAAAAGACCACCGAGAAGGTTTGGACCAGTTCTTCGACTCCTACATCATAAGTTGGGTATTGTTGTTATTTATACGACGCTGTTGCTCACCTGGGGGTGACGAAATAGTCAACTAAAATGTGGTTTGACAGAGCCGATTAAAAAATGGGAGAAACTCTCCGCATATTGGTCTCCGTCACCAAAGGACACTCATTCCAAATCGTCGGATCCAATGAGGCAGATCGCAACATGTAAACGTGCGGTCTGTAATGTCAAGGTCTACTCGATTAGGTATGAGAGAAGCCGTATTAAATGCGAATGTTACAGGAAGTAGCCTCATATTTAATTACGATACTGTGATAGTTTTAGCATTAATACCGTTCAGTAAACCTGGTTTAAAATAAGCAGGTAAAGGAGAGATTCGAAACTGCCTTATGATAACACAAGACCACGGAACAGCGAGCGACTCTTTTGGAGGATAAGAATATGCACGCACTACGGGCATCCTGCAGCTAGTAGTCGAGATGACCAGTGTTGAAAGCAAGAACAGAGTAGCCGAAGAATATATTTCCTTGAGTTTTTTAAACAATGGGCTTTAGGTTCTGCATTGCGAAGCATAAGAGATTCATTACGGATTCCGTGCTAAACGTGACACGTAATATTCGACCAACTGCTATCCTATTGGGATAATTGAGATAGCGCACACATCTATAGCACTGTAAGTATGAACTGAAATGTGCTAAAAAGAAAGCGGTCTTACGCTTCAGTGTTATCTCACCTGTTATAAAAAGACGTGTAGTGGCGGTGGACGTCTGTTGATTTTTGCTTGGGCTATGAAATTTACTCTATATTGTCGGCTATAGCTGAACTAAATATCTCTGATAGCATAACAATAGTAATTTTTACACTTGTCCAATAATAATGCTCAGGAGGGCACTATTCCACACGCTGATTGACTGAGCCGGCAGAGGCGCCGAAGCCTAGGTAGTCCCCCATCAATAATAATTCTGTAGTCCACAACCACAGGCATTTAACAGTCTTACAAAGCGAGATGGCCGCAATTACGAACATGAGACTGGGACCTGCATGAAAAATTGTATGTGCAAAAACGAGGCGTTTGATGAGGCGTTTAGCGACTAAAGCGATTTTGAGGTAAAAGAAGAAGCAAATAACCGTACTAAGTATGGCGTTTGGTACAGGCATTTCTAAAGCTACATAAAACTGTACCCTGCATACCGCGATTCTACGATCGTAGAATACTCAGTTGCCTGTCTTACACCAAACAGCGCAGGTAAACACTTCTTAATTAAGAAAAAATCCCCGACTTCTAAGCAAATATTAGAAGCAAAGTGTACGATGTATAAAGATTAAGCTGTGTCAACGAATACATACCTGCAGCACGAACAGACTAAAATGCGATCTCAAGTAGCCTTTTTGACATTCCGCTTCTATTTCAGCCTAGTTAAAACTAAAATTTACATTTCATCATTACAGTAGTCGCTGGTTATTTAGCCCACGGTTGATAGGCCCACCAGCGTATTAAGCCCAAATCAGCTTGGGACGGAATTTTGCGTAGCAAAATCCGCCGGGTAATAAGCCCAGTCGCCGGCTACAAAGCCCAGTTT